TCAGTGCTGGACAGAAGGGTTTAATAAATATTTCATCCGCGAGCTAAGCCCTATTTTCACCATTTTTGAACATCCTTGAGAGCTTTTGGACGGGAATTGAAGAGGATTTCGACTGGGATTGATCGGAGGTAAGCCCTATGAACTACAAACACGATTTTATTGTGAAATTGACCTTGAAATCCATGGAAACTTAGCAAAAAAGGGAAGAACTAGGGCTTGAGTTTTAATATTTCAAATTGCGATTTGAGGGGCCATTTGGACTCCGATTTTGGTAATCTTTATATGTATAGACTCGTGGCGAGATAAGGAGTCCGTTGATGTTAAATTTTCTGATTTTTGAGAAGTGGGCCCGGGGCTCGGGTTTTGCTAATTTCGAGATTTTCGCTATTTTTCGATCGTTTTCGATTGGGTATTGTTCCATTGGCATATTGTGACGTATTCGTTGTGGTTTTGGATAGATTCGACGCGCGTGGAGGCCGATTTGAGGGGCAAAGGCATCGCGAGCTAGAGATTTCGCCGGTTCGAGGTGAGTAATGATTGTAAATGATATTTTGAGGGTTTGAAACCCCGTATTTGCACATCGTAGTGCTATATTGAGGTGACTTGCACGCCGGGTAGCGAGCGTGGGGTAGAGCACCGTTGGGGATTGTGACTTGGTCCGTCCCGGTAGATGAATATACTGCATATTTGACTGAAGTTCACTTATTATCATTTTAATTGAGCTGATTGCTATATTTGGGCTTCGTGCCAATTGATTGAATCCTTCAGGGATTGTTAATACTGGTTTCTTACCATGTTTACATATCATTGAACTCAGTCCTAGTATTTAATACTGTTTTGCAAACTCAGCCACCTTTTCTTAAACTTGAAACTTAATTAATATTTTTAATGAAGTTTGGGCTGAATATTTCTATATGATTGTGCCCGAGGGGCTTATGTGATTTTTGGACTGAGTATAGGATCGGGCTGCATGCCGCAGCAGTATGATATTGATATTGATATGAGGCCGGGGGCCTAGTTGATGCCACGAGATGGCTTATTATTACGCTTGGGCCGTAAGGGGCCCCTCCAGGAGTCTGCACACCCCCAGTGAGCGCCGTCGACGATAAACGGATCGGGCTGCACGCCGCAGCGGTATTTGGAGCGGGCTGCACGCCGCAGCAGTACTAGTACTGTTTTGTGTGTTTACTTTACTTCATTTATCTGTCATTATCTGTTGTTTGTGTTACTTCTAACAATATAGACCTGATACTCTGGCATTCCTTGATATCTGAGTGTTGTGCCCGCGGGGCGTAAATTCTGTGCTTATCTGCACTATTTGAATTGCATTCGTTTGCATACTGTTGAAAATTCATTTCCAAAAGAGGTTTTAACTGAGCTAAGATATTTCTAAAGATTTCACAGCTTCACTGTTTTTCTCAAAAGGTTTTACACTACTTCTATATAGCATGATAACGTGACATACGTGATTTCTTACTGCTCAGTTGTTATTTACCTTTATTACTCACTGAGTTGGAGTACTCACTTTACTCCCCGCTCAGTGAGTTCATTTTCTGAAAGTGTGGACAGATCTACAATGTAAATATTTTTTACTCTTTTTCCCTGCAAAACAATCTTGTCAGTTGTAAGATTTATCATAAAACATTTTGGTAGAGGTGAATGCTACCAAGTTACCTCTATCACACTATTGTGATACACTGTTTAGGCTGTATTTTAGGCCATCTTTCAAGTAGACATTCTCAATAGAGTGAGAAACAGTCTTACCTACCTTTCTAACCCCAATGATCTCACCTTTCTTCCCATTTCCAAAGGAGACATTACCTCCTTTGAGGTCCTCAAGTGAAGGGATCTAGTTCTTGCTACCTGTCATATGCTTTGAGCGGCCACTATCCATGTACCATATTTGGCTGCTCCCCTTCACTTGGACCCGTAAAAGGAGATCAGGGGTTAGTCTTTGGAACCCAAACTAGTTTGGGTCCCTTTCTATAGGCACAAGGGTGAATCAAATTCTTTTTGGCCCATCCTGGTAGCCTATTTTTCCCTTGAACAAATATTTTATTCGTCTGACTAGCCTTTTCTTTTGCATTACATTCACTTTTATAGTGACCAGTCTTACCACAGTGTGTGCAGATTCTATTCTCAGGAAGTGTGAGGTACTTGCTTTTGGGATCCCACTTAGGTGCAGGGGTCTCGTAGCCAAGTCCTCTCTTATTGCTACTATGGTGTTCATGTAGCCATGAAAGTGCATCGGAGGACCTATTCCATTTACAGGTTCTGTCTAGCTCGTGCTTAACCTTGCTTAGATCTTCCTTTAGGACTCTTATCTGCTCATCTCTTTTGTACAACTCATCTTTTATTTTTCCTAGATTTTCTTCTAAAGTGAGATGTGTGTGATCAACTTTCTTTTTACCTGTTCCTAATTTCAGTTTTAAATTTTCAGATCTAATCTCTAGCACAGTGGTGTAAAGTTCAAGAACCGGGTTCTTTAACTCATCATTTTTACTATCACTTTCACTAGCCCTAAGTTCCAAATTTTTGCATTTAGCTTTCAAAATCATACACTCCTTAGACAGCTGTTCCTTTTTATTGTTTAGATCCTCAGATTCATCAATGAAATCCAGGAGTAACTCAGGTAGCCTTTCTTTAGACAAAAATTTAATCTTGTCTTTGAGATGAATTATACTTACCTCAGATTCCTCATCGGATTCTCCAATTGCCATAAGTGCTTGTTCATCTCCATCTTCATCCTCTGAGTCCTCATCTGAGCTTTCTCCCCAGGAAGCAACCATAGCCTTTGTTGATCCTTTGTTCTTCTTGGGTTGAACCTGTTCCTTCTTCTTGTTCCTTCGTTCAGCTCTTTCCTTCTTCCATTCAATTTCCCATTGAGGGTAGTTTTTGATGTGGTGATCAGTATTCCCACACTTGTAACACCCCTCAATGGTTTTTTTTTCAGGAACCCTTGGTTTGCTGTAGCTTCCACTTCTTGAAGGACCCTTTCCTCATTAGGTACTTCTTGAAGTCCTTTGTGATCATGGTCATTTCATCCTCCTCTAGATCATCACCTTCAGTGATTCTGAGTGCCAGGCTCCTTTCCTTCTTGGGTGCATCCATCTTCATAGTTTGCCTTCTCAGTTCATAGGCAGTGAGATTTCCAAGTAGCTCATCCAACTTAAGAGTGGAAATGTTCTTTGATTCCTGAATAGCAGCGATTTTGCTTTCCCAAAAGACTGGCAGAACCCTTGTCAAAATCTTCTCAACTTTGTCTTCTTCAAGAATAACCCTTCCAAGAGACTTAAGTTCATTTGTCAGTGTGGTGAACCTTGTATACATCTCCTGGATGGTTTCCCCTTCCTTCATGGTGAAATTCTCATATTGAGAATACAACAGTGTTCCTCTAGACCTCTTCACTTGAGGTGTTCCTTCATGAGCCACTTGCAAAGTGTCCCAGATTTCCTTAGCACTGGTACAACACTTTGAATTCTACTGTACTCGTCTGGACCAAGTCCACACACAAGCCATTTCTTGGCCTTAGCATTCTTTTCCCATTTCCTCAAGTCCTCAGCATTGCAGTCAGCTCTTGTTTTTGGCACATCTACTCCTTCAGCATTCTTCTTCATGGTAGCCAGAGGACCATCAGTGACAATGTCCCATAGCTGATAGTCTTCTCCGATGATGTGATCTCTCATCCTATTTTTCCACCAAGAGTAGTACTGGCCATTAAAGAGTGGAGGCCTAGCAGTGGATTGCCCTTCCTAGTTTCCAGGTGGTGCACTCATCTTGATCTTTTCCTAAGGTGTTAGCCTCTTCAAGGATAACCTGCTCTGATAACAATTGATGTTTTATACTTCAATACCACACAAGAGGAGGGTGATTTGTGTGGTATCCAATTTTTTGCTTAAATTGATTATGGAAGGACCTGGTTCTTCTATGTGTTTCTTATACTACTGTTGAGGAATAATAAATGCAGAAAGTAAAGAACACAAGTGTTTTTACGTGGAAAACACCCGCCTCAAAAGGTGAAAAAACAACGACCTACTACTCAATAGGATTTTCCCCAACACTTCACTAAATCACTGAGCCAAAACAACATTTACAAAACTCTTTGTAAACCTAATGATTACCTCTAATCCTGTTGTAGCACACAGCCTCTAACTGTTGCGACGACTTCAAGTTAACTCTAACTTGAATACTCTAAGTACCTATTACAATAGCCTCTAGATAAAGCTGAAAGGTACAATATGAAAACACCTACTACAATTAAACTAGAATAAAAGACATACACTTGGAACTGGTTCTTCTATCTGGTTCACGTAGCTTCAGATTTGCACACTTGAATCACACACGAACTGCTTGCAAAATTGCCTTGCTATTTTGCTCTCAATTCACGTTTAACTTCTGCGTTTGTACAACATTGTAAAGTGAGAACATCCTGCAATTTATAGAGTTAGTAGATGAAGAAATAACTAGAGTTCTAATGCTACTCTTCCTTGGTGGAAGAGTTCTAGTTGATTTTAACTTCTAACTCCTTCCCTATCTTGGATAGTGTTCTCTTTGATTAAGGAGTCCTTCTCCTTATCAATTATGCAACCTTTTCGATCATGAGATATTAAATACACCAAGTTAAGCTTATCTCTTTCACGTGCATCCCACATGCTCGAATCTGCCTGTTTCTATGCACACAAGGGATGGACCTGGTTCATACCTGAGTTCCTTTGTCAGTCTTCAAAACTAACCTTTACTTGGGCCAACAACAGGAAATCACATAGCTAAGGGACAAACATGGTGAATTTCAACATGAATCCACATCAATTGCCAACATACTTGTAGAGTTTTATCAAGAGTTGCTGGGACAGCAAGGCCATAACAGAATAAGAGCATTTAGAAGTTTTTTACTTAATGGAACAGTACTAACAATAGAACAGCAACTACAGCTGGTTCAACCATTTAATAAGAAGGATGTCAGAAACTCTATGTTCAACATTATAAGAACAAAAACCCAGGTCCAGATGGATATGGGAGTGAGTTCTTCAGAGCAGCCTGGAAGATCATAGGGACAGACATCACTGAAGCTATTTTGAATTTTTTTGAGAATGGAAAACTACTAACTCAGTTGAATGCTACAATGATCTCTCTAATTCCTAATATTGAAGTACCACAGGATACAGGACAGTTCAGATCAATCTCTTGTTGCAATGTGATATATAAGTGCATCTCCAAGATGATTTGTAAAAGGTTGAGCATGGTCATTAAAACTATTGTGGCTGAAAACCAGGCTGCATTTGTGGAGGGAAGATCTTTGGTGCACAATGTGTTGATATGAAATGACTTACTTAGTCATTACAACAGGAAAACAACACCTAGGTGCCTTACGAAGATAGATCTAAGGAAGGCATATGATATGGTAAGATGAGAGTTTATAGAAGAGGCTTTGACTGGCTTTGGATTTCCTGCTGTATTTATCCAGCTGGTAATGACTTGTATCTCTACCACAAGATTTTTTGTCAAGGTGAATGGAGTAGGGTATGGGTATTTTGAGGGAAAAAGAGGTCTATGGCGAGGGGATCCCATGTCCCCTTTCTTATTTGTGTTGGTCATGGAGTATCTAACAAGAATACTAAAGAGGAAGAGTAACCTACCAGATTTCAAGTTTTATCCTATGTGCAAAAAGACCAAATTGACTCATCTATTATTTGTTGATGACTTAATGATTTTCTGTAAAGGAGACATTAAGCTAGTGAGTAGAGTAAGGGAAGCACTTCAACATTTTAGTGAGGTAACTGGACTGGAAAGAAATCTGGATAAGTCTAATCTGTTTGTGGCAGGTGTAGATGAGGAACTGAAGAAGCAACTACTTGATATAACAGGGTTCTCCTGGGATCTTTGCCAATAAGATACTTGGGGTTGCCACTGTCCTCAAAGAAGTGGAGCAAAATGGAGTACCACCAACTGGTTGAAAAGATCACAAGCAGGATAAAAACTGACTACTCAAGAACCTTATCTTATGCAGGGAGATTATAGATAATTACTGCAGTATTGTTCTCCTTATACAACTTTTGGGGAGAAATTTTCATACCTCCACAGAGTGTTCTAAAGGAAGTTGATAAACAATGCAAAGACTACCTATGGGGGAGTAAGGAGGATCGGATGAAGATTGCCTTAGTCTCTTAGGATAGAGTTTGTGTCCGTAAGAAGTATAGAGGGTTGAATATCAAGAATTGTGCTAAGTGGGATGTGGCTTCAGTGGGCAAAACTGATATGGTAACTGGCCATGAAAAAAGACACTTTATGGATTAGATGGGTCCATAGATTATATTTGAAAGATAGTAGTAAGATTTTTGGAATCACACACCACCTCAAGACAGTACTTGGTATTAGAGGAAATTAAATTCCCTTAAAGCAGAGATGACTCACTGGCACCATAATGGTAGATATTGGTTGACACCTAATGGAAAATACTCAGTGTCAAGTAGCTACCAAGCATTGTTGAACAATGTACAGAGATGTAAGGAGGCAGACCTGGTGTGGAGCTCACTGTTGCTGCCTAGGCACATATTCCTTTTGTGGTTAGCAAGTCAGAAGAGATTTCTAATGAAAGAAAGGTTGAGCAGATTGCAGATTCAAATAGACTCCATAATGTGTGAGTTACGCGATGTTTTAAATGAGGAAACATAGAGCCATTTGTTCTATGAATGTGGATGGACAACAGAATTGAGGGACAAGCTGGAAACATGGTCAGGCATTAAGATACAATGAAAAGAAGTGCTGCAGTCAATATGGCAGATCAAAAGAAGACATTGGTGGCAGTTTAAAGAATAGATAGTAGTAGCATTTCTGTTAGGTATTTGTCCAGATTTTCTTACCATAATTGGTTTTCCTATTTCATGAAGGAAAGGACAACATATTTACCATAATTGGGTTTTTCTTTTCCTAGAAGGAAAATATAGTTCTTCCATAATTGGCTTGTCTCTTTTCTTGTAGGAAAAGGTTTGGAGTTCTATAAATTGAAGATCCGTCCTTCTCATTCAGTAGCATCCACAATGTAGCCATAGGGGGCTTGAGAGTCTTGTTTAGGGGGAGAACTTTACGGGACAAATGTCAGTGTATCACTTGTGTTTGCCTCTTCATAAGGTTGTTCTCTCGATATTTTGTTCTCTCTTTTATTATAGTGGATTGCTCATCTCCATCGTGGATGTAGGTCTGTTGACCGAACAACGTTATATGTTTGTGTCTCTTTTGGTATGTTTCTCTTTTGTTGTTGGATTTATCGTCGTGCAAGGTTTGCTTTGCTAGCTTCCGCATGACACCTGATTTTTTCAGTCCTAACAAGTGGTATCAGAGCCTTGGTTATTTATCCGGGTTGTTACGGAATGGAGGCGAATATGAGCAAGATGGTATGTTTAAATGGGAGAAATTATAACGTTTGGAGAAGCAAGATGAAAGATTTGTTGTTCGTGAAGAAGATGAATATACCCATTTTTTCAGCTCATAAACCCGAGAGTATATCCGATGAAGATTGGGATTTCGAGCACCAACAAGTATGTGGATATATATGCCAATGGGTTGAAGATAATGTTCGCAACCATATTGTGAACGAGACACATGCGAGATCATTGTGGGAAAAGCTAGAGGCTCTTTATGCTTCAATAACTGGGAACAACAAGTTGTTCTTGCTAAAGCAATTGATGACCTTTATATACAAGGAAGACAGCCCTACCCTTGATCACATAAATAATTTTCAGGGCGTCCTTGATCAGCTGTCTGGAATGGGAGTTAATTTTGATGATGAGATACAAGGACTTTGGCTTCTTAATACTCTGCCAGACTCTTGAGAAACTCTTCGTGTTTCTTTGACAAATTCAGCTCCTGGAGGTAAGGTGACCATGGAATATGCCAAGAGTGGTGTGTTGAACGAGGAAGTAAGAAGAAAATCTCAAGGTTCGTCCTCGCAAGCAGATATCTTGGTTATAGAAGACCGGGGGAGAGAAAGAACAAGAGGCTCGTGGAATAGAGGTAAAAGTAGAAGTAAGTCAAGGTCCAAATACCATAATATTACATGCAATCACTGTGGCAAGAAGGGACATATCAAAAGGTTTTGCCGCAAGTTGTTGCAAGACATTAGAGAAGGAAAGAAAGTTGAAAATAACGAGAACAATGTTGCTGATATTGTTCGAGATGACCTTCTTTTTGCTTATGATGAAAACGTAATCAATTTGGTATCCCATGAGACGAGCTGGGTAGTAGATTCTGGAGCTACCTCACATGTCACACCAAGAAAAGATTTTTTCTCATCTTATACTCCTGTTGATTCTGGAGTGTTAAAGATGGGCAATGCCAGTGAAGTTAAGGTGTTTGGTGTTGGCACGGTTTGTTTGAAAACTAATAATGGTTCAACGTTAGTTCTTCAAGATGTCAAGCATGCTCCAGACTTTCCTTTCAATTTGATCTCCGTAGGAAGATTAGACGATAAAGGTTAGCATGATGCCCTCTTTAATGGCCAATGGAAGCTCACCAAGGGCTCGTTAGTAGTGGCTCGAGGAGTCAAGTCTGGTCATTTATATGTGACACAGGGCTCTATTCTTAATGATTTAATAAATCTAGTGGAAAGTGATACTTTATCAGACTTGTGGCACAGAAGATTCAGTCATATGAGCGAGAGGGGGATTACGTGTTTGGCTAAGAAAAGTTTGCTTTCTGGAGTGAAACAAGCAAAGCTGAAAAGGTGTATCCATTGTTTAGCTGGCAAACAGAAAAGGGTTTCCTTTCATATCCATCCTCCCTCAAGAAAGCTCGATTTATTGGAGCTAGTACACTCTGATTTGTGTGGTCCTTTTAAAATAAAGTCAAAAGGTGGCGCACTTTACTTTGTGACCTTCATTGATGATCATTCTCATAAGCTTTGGGTACATCCTTTGAAATCTAAAGATCAAGCACTTGGCGTGTTTAAGGAATTTCAGGCCTTAGCTGAGAGACAGACGGGGAAGAAATTAAAATGTAATCGCACTGACAATGGTGGTGAATATTGTGCCTCTGATAACTATTGCAAGGAACAAGGATTCGTCATCGGAAAACTCCGCCCAACACCTCAATTGAATGGTTTGGCAGAGAGGATGAATAGAACTCTAGTTGAGAGAGTCAGATGCTTGCTTTCAGAAGCTAAACTTCCAAATATATTTTGGGCGGAAGCACTTAACACTGTTGCCTATGCTATCAATTTGTCTCCTGCTGTTGCTTTGGATGGTGATGTCCCAGACAAAGTTTGGTCTGCCAAAGATGTTTCTTATGATCACCTGAGAGTTTTTGGGTGTAAAGCTTGTGTGCATGTTCCTAAAGATGAAAGATCGAAACTGGATGTCAAAACTAAGCAGTGCATATTTATCGGTTATGGTCAAGATGAATTTGGGTATTGTTTTTATGACCCAGTTGACAATAAACTTATTAGAAGTCGTGATGCAATATTCTTTGAAGACCAGATTATTGAAGATATTGACAAAGCTGAGAAGATAGATTCTCAGAGTAATGAGAGCTTAGTTGATAGTGATCCAGTTTCTATTGCTAAGTCACCTATTGCACATGAAGGAACCCAAGACAATGATAGGGATAGTGATCAAGATCAAAATGATCATCATGGTATAGATGTTATGAATGCTTCAGTTGATGAAGTTGTGGTTGATCAACAACCAATTACTGCTCAGGTAACTGCTTCGAATGCTCCTGAAACCTCTCTTAGAAGATCTACAAGGGAGAAGCAAAAATCCATGCGCTATCCTCCTGATGAGTATGCACTTTTGACTGACATGGGAGAACCTGAGAATTATGACGAAGCCATGCAAGATACTCATAAAGATCAGTGGATTGAATCCATGGAAGATGAGATGAAGTTACTCCATGAGAATGGCACATATGAGTTAGCGAAATTGCCGAAAGGTAAGAGAGCTTTATCTAAAAAATGGATACAGAAGAAAGCAAGATAACCATACCTCTGCGCCTAGATATAAGGCAAGGTTAGTTGTTAAAGGTTTTGGCCAGAAGAAGGGAGTTGACTTTGATGAAATTTTCTCCCCTGTTGTGAAGATGTCTTCTATTCGTGTGGTTCTAGGCTTAGCCGCAAGTGTAGATTTAGAGGTTGAGCAAATGGATGTCAAGACTGCTTTTCTTCATGGTGATTTAAATGAGGAGATTTATATGGAGCAACCTGAGGACTTCGTAGTTAAGCTTGCAGATAAGCATGCATTTTGCAGAAAATTGGCAGGCATGAAGCCTGTCAATAGTTCCTCTACTTGAAGACATATTTGGCCCCTTAGCTGGAGGGGGAGTTTGTTGGGCACATGCCCATGTTGTCCCGCCAAAGGCCCAATGGCTAATCCTATTCTCTTTTGGTTTCCATTCCTATTCGGAATTGAATTCGGTGTTTATTCCTAGTTTAAGTGGATTTTGGCTTTAAGAGAAAGCACCACTCATGATCTATAAATAGGACAACTTTAGAGAATTATTCTATGCTCATTGATACAAGTCTTTGAAAGACTTAATCACATAAGAGTGGTTTTTGAGAGAGCTTTCATCAAGAGAGAAGAGAGAAGAAAAGTATTTATTTTGCTGCAGATTTTTTTATTCCGACCAGCCAATTTCAAATCATGTTTACACGGTTCGTCAACCGTTGGATCGGGCTGACATTTTGACTGAGCATTCATAACATCCTAGTATTCAATTTGAACGGTGGAGATCGGATTTGGAGGCCTGTAGAATCTGATTTTGAGCCTCGAACAGCAGCTTCATTTTTGTGGATTTTCCTCTTTCTTCAATTGATTTGTTGTTGCTATTGTTGTGCACTTGTTGTGTAGCCAATTTGGAGAACTTTTATACCCCTCTTATTGTTATGGTGGAGCTTTTTGGATCTTTGTGATCCCGTAGTTTTTACCTTCGATTAGAAAGGTTTTTCACGTTAAAATTTGGTGTTCTTTATCTTCTTTATTTTCGGATTTGCCTCTTCCTCGACATAACAATGGTATCAGAGCGAGGTTTATGGTAGGTTCATCTTGGCGGGTTTAGTTCTAGCCGCAACCTATTTGACAGTAATCATGATTTTTATCTGAGAAATTTGACTGTGTGCTACGCACGTTGAGACAAACTTTGTAGTAGAGATTTGGAGATGCGACCTGTTGAAGACTATGTGAAGAAGGTGGATCAAGTTTATTTTGTAAGAAAATTCAGGCCAAGGGGGAGAATTGTTAGGTATTTGTCCAGATTTTCTTACCATAATTGGTTTTCCTATTTCATGAAAGAAAGGACAACATATTTACCATAATTAGGTTTTTCTTTTCCTAGAAGGAAAATATAATTCTTCCATATTTGGCTTGTCCCTTTTCTTGTAGGAAAAGGTTTGGAGTTCTATAAATAGAAGATCCGTCCTTTTCATTCAGTAACATCCACAATGTAGCCATAGGGGGCTTGAGAGTCTTGTTTAGGGGGGAACTTTACAGGACAAATGTTAGTGTATCACTTGTGTTTGCCTCTTCGTGAGGTTGTTCTCTCGATATTTTGTACTCTCTTTTATGATAGTGGATTGCTCATCTCCACCATGGATGTAGGTCAGTTGACCGAACCACGTTATATGTTTGTGTCTCTTTTGGTAGATTTCTCTTTTGTTGTTGGATTTATCGTCGTGCAAGGTTTGCTTTGCTAGCTTCCGCATGACACCTGATTTTTTTGGTCCTAACAAATTTTTGGAGCTTGAGATATATCATATATGGAAAGCTAGAAACTGGAAACATTTTAAGGCGACAACTGTAAATATACAGGTCATGACGATCACACAGATACAAAAGGAACTTAAGGTAAGGATGGAACATAGTAACAGCTCCAAAAGAGCATGTAGGTGTAGTTTTTTACCGCAAAGATTTTGTACTTAGTTTCTTTGGTTCATTGAGGCCGGAAGACAATTCACCTCATGTTCAGAGGCTGTAGTAACTTGAATGCTCTTTAGGTATATTATTTGTAAGTAATGGTAATATTTCACAGGTTATTACCAACAAAAAAAATGTTATCTTAAGTGATAGGTATTCTGTTTACTAATAATAGCTCTTAATATGGTAAATATTCTACTAGTACTTTGGAATTCTCACGTACAAATTCTCGCAATTTCGCCACTACCCAACAAGACATTACTGTTCCTTTTTTTTGGTGGAATGAAATTTTTTTTATTCATCTCCAGACCAGTACATCAATAAGAATACAATGAGAAATCTATAAAGTAGCTACCTATGTTTCTAACTATATAATGAAGGCTGTACAATTACTTTCTTTCTATCTATATTTTTTTTCTATCCATCTTCCATCATTTCCTTTCATTCTCTTGTTTAATACTTCTCCCGTTCGAATCTTGCATTCTTCTTTAATTTGTTCACACACTTTATGTGGTCTAGGCACTGAACTCTTCCATACAGCTTCATTCCTACCTTTTCATACATAGTAGTTGGTTGCTGCTAATGCTGCATATGCAAACTCTCTGCTCAATTTTCCAGCCATCTTCCTTGCCGCTCTTCTCCATAATAGCTACCCCTCCAGGTTTGTGATTCTAATTTTTAGCCATTCCAATATAATACCAATGCATCTGCTGGAGAACTAGCACTCATAGAATAGATGCTCTATAGTTTCCTGTTTATCCCCACATAACACACATAGGTCATCCGTATTCACCCCTCTGCGCCCCAGCCTATCCTTTGTGAGTAGCTTCTTCTGCGTAGTCAACCAGCAGATGAAGCTATATTTTGGCATGTTCTGTTTACTCCATTCCTATCGTCCCCATTGACATCTGTCTAGGGACCCTTTCAGCCATTCATATCCCTTTTGTATAGTATATTTCCCTGTACTTGACTGCCACCCCCTGTTTACATATCCTGCTGCCAGTTTGTCTCTAACATTACAAATTTTCGTCCAGTACCAACTACTATCGTTTGCTGCTTTATACTGCCACCAGTCTACATCTTTAAGGTAAATATGGTTTATCCACTTGACCATAATGAGTCAGTTTTATGAGTGATATCCCACACATATTTTCCTATCGCAGCCTCATTCCATGCTACACAGTCCCTTATCCCTATTCCTCCTTCCTGTTTTGGTCGGCATACAAGGTCCCAGGCTACTAAGGGCACTCTATTTGTTTCCACTTTGTCATCCCACAAGTAGTTCCTACACATTGCTGTAATACTTTTTAGGACTGCTTTGGGCAGAACGAAAATTGAAGCCCAATATGTATGAATGTGCATCAAAACTTCATTTATCATTTGCACTCGACCTGCATATGATAGATTCCTTGACCCCCAGCTGTTTATTCTGTTTGCCATCTTATCAACTAGTGCCTGGCAGTCCATTTTGGAGAGCTTCTTTGAAGAAATTGGGACTCCTAAATATTTGAATGGGAGTCTGCCTTGCTATATCCTGTTATTTCACATAAGTCTTCCATTTCTTTTGCTTCCATGTTCACCGCAAATATATTTGACTTCCCCGCATTTGTTGTTAGACCAAAAGCAATAGTGAATGTTTGTAATCCTCTCAGTAATAGCATCACTGATTGAATTTCCCCTTTGCAGAAGAGAAGTACACCATCCGCAAAGCATAAATGATTCAGTTGCAAGCTCCTACATTTGGTGTGAAATCTAAATCCCTCCATCTGTGTCACGTGCTTCATAATCCTTGAGAAATACTCTATACATATTACAAAGAGCAGAGGAGATATTGGATCTCCGTGTCTCAAACCCCTCTTCCCTTTTATATTCCTATATAGTCCTCCATTGATTGCCACTGTATATTGAGGTGTTGAGATGCAATCCATGATCCATCTAATGAATTTCATAGGGAAGTTAAGTGCATGTAACATTTCTTCCACAAACTCCCATTCTATTGAATCATAAGCTTTCTTGAGATCTATTTTAATCAGACAGCTTTTTGTTGTTGCCTTCCTCTTGTACAGTCTAACCAAGTCTTGACATATTAGGATATTTTGCATGATTGTTCTTCCTGCTACAAAAGCACTCTGGTTTTCTGAAATTATATCTGGTAGGATAGTCTGCAGTCTGTTGCATAGCATTTTGGACATGACCTTATAAACTGTATTACAGCAAGCAATAGGCCTAAAATCTACAGCTGTCTCTGCATGATTACTTTTAGGGATTATTGTTATGACTGTTCTGTTAATTGTTTTCAGCAATTTCCCTGATTCAAAAAATTCCAGTGCTGCCTCCTTTAGGTCTTTCCAGTTATTTCCCAGCTGTCTTTAAAAAATTTACTCCCATACCCATCTGGTCCAGGAGCTTTCTCACAATCTATTTGTCACAAAGCTTGTTTAACTTCTTTTTCTGTAAAATCTTCTGTCAGCATTTGTCTTTGCTCTTCTGTTACTACCTTGCCTTCCCTTACTAGTGTACTGCAAACATGATCTCTTTTGTCTGTAGTAGATCCTAGCAAGTTTGAATAGAATTCCACAAAAGCCCCTGCTATCTCTTCTTGCCTTCATGTAGCTGTGGAAGTACTTGTTATTTTTGTTGCCTTGTTTCAGCCATTGTACTTTACTTTTCTGCCACAGGAACTGGTCACTTGCTTCCTTGTATCTCCTGTAGTTGCTTGCCAGTTTCTGCTCTCTTTCAATAAGACCTTGGTTTAGGGGATTTGGTTGCATGTGCTGCTGACATTCCTTAAGATCCTTCTTGGCTTGTTCCGTTTTTCCTTCTATATTGCTGAATTTTGTTCTGTTTAGTTGCTTTAGTACCCCCTCCAATCTGTTCAGCTTCCCTACAATTTGATACATTTTTGTTCCATTAATTCCAATGCTCCAGCTTTCAGCCACTTTATCTTTGAAATCTGGATCCATGCTCCACATGTTGAAGTATTTGAAATGCTTATTCCCCATCTGCTTCCTGTTATCCCAACTAATGATAGCTGGGCTATGATCATACAACCCCTCAGTCATGTAGTGCACAGTTGAGGCAGGTAACATTGTCATCCAATCAAAATTTACCAATACTCTATCAATTCTACTCATTACTCTATCTTTTCCACTCTGTTTGTTGTTCCAAGTGTAGAATGCACCAGTAGATTTAAGTTCTTGAAGGCAACATGTATCTACATATTGCCTGAACTCCTTTGTTTCGGCCATTATTACTTTACTGCCTATTCTTTCATCAGTATTCAACACATTATTGAAGTCCCCCATCACTGCCCATGGGCCCTTATTGTACTTGTATATTTCTTCTATATCCTTCCACAGATTTCTCCTTAGAGCTATATCATTGTATGCATATATCATGGTTACATTAATCTTCTCCCTTGTTCCTCTATGTTTGATTGTACTATGAATCAACTGATCAGTAGTTTTTAGAATATCCACCTCAAAAATTAATGGTTTCCACAGTAACCAAATCTTTCCCTTAGGATGCTGAGCCAAATTTGTTGTAAAGGACCACCCCTCACAAAGATTAAGAGAAGGTCTGTGAGCTTTTGATCTCTTAATCTTTGTTTCCAGGAGACCAAACAGACTAGCTCCACTGTTATACATAAACAGATGAACTTCTCTCTGTTTATCTAGTCTGTTTAGTCCCCTTACATTCCAGAAGCCTATCTTATCCATTGGGCAGGGGTCTTGCCCCACCCCTCCCATGTCCTGGACCCTTCACCACTACTTCTCCCTTAGGGTTGGAAGAACTAGCTTTATTCTGCCTCAGTTCCTCTATGTCTCCTCCTTTGTTGAGCACCTCAAATGTATTTCTTGTTGTTATAGCCATGGGATTGTTCTGTTGTTTCTCTGACACTTTTCCTTTATCTTTACCTTCATCTCTTTTGTTCTCCTTATTCTGAATAGGGGCTTCTGTTGCTTTCTCTGACACTTTCTCTTTAGCTTTGCCTTCATCTCTTTTGTTCTCCTTGTTCTGAATAGGGCCTTCTGTTGCTTTCTCCCCCTGTTCCAGCTGCTTTCTCCTAGTTTCTGCTTCTTCTCTATGTAGTTTTCTACAATCTTGTAACTCATGTCCAGAATTTGTACAATTGGGACATAATGTTGGCTTCCATTCATAATATACCTCTTGCTTTACTATTCTCCCCCACCTCATTCTCAAACATAACCTGCTTAGGGTATTGTTGATTAATTGACAGTTCCACGAGTACTCTGGCAAATGCTAATCTCTCCTTGTTTGTAGTTGCTCTATCTACTTTTAATGGCTTCCCAATCAATCCAGCTATCTTTGTTAAGGCATTCTTCCCCCAATACTTGATATCCAGACCTTTCAGCCTTATCCACACTGGAATTCTATCCACATTTTCCTTACTTACATCCACATCTGGTTCCCAAGGCTTCACTACAATAGGCTTTTTATCAAACATCTGGACTCCCTCTTCAATGACTTGAGTTCTACTTTCAACAGTGTGAAATCTAATCAGGAACACTCGTCTATTTATTTGTGCAATTTTATCTATCCCCAAACCTCCCAATATTCTTCTGAAATATCCATCGATTACAGTCAAATGTGGATTTGATCCCAATACGTAGCATATAACTGCTGTTTTCCAGTATACGAGTTCATCTTTAATATCATCCATCGTAATTTTGACATTTTCCCCTGTTGTTACCTCATTATTTAGGTCTAATCCTTCACTGCTAGGCTCAATTTTACTCTATGAATTAGTTATCGTATTCAATTATACCTTGTTTGTCGCATTTGTCTCCATAATTTCCGCCTCCACTCTATCCGCCCATGATCCACCTGAATGAATCACCGGAGTTGTTGCCGGATTCAATGGAGTCTTCACCAAATCAGTTGTGTGCTCTGCATGTGCAATTGGCATCATTGATGATCCTTGACTTAATCCTAATGGCACAATTCCTTGGATTGCATTGATGTTCCTCGTCTTCTTTGCATCTGTTGACTCTGGAATTCCAGTTCTTCTCGATTGATTGTTTGAGTTTTCTACCATGCGTTGTTGCCCTCCCCCTCCATTCTTCGTTCTTCTCATCATTTCAGTGTTATCTGAGAGGAGAATTCATTCTAGAGAGAGAAAGTACTCTTTGAGTTGCAGATGAAGATTAAAAGAGAATTCTTAGATTATGAGATTCACCTTCAACTGCGTGTTTATTGTTGTTGATTATTACTATTCCTTAATTGCATAAATATATGAAACTTACTATTTATTCATGCAATATGTGTGATGCTTTCTTTTGCAAATTAATATTCGTTTAACTCTGTTCGTTTTAAATTTTTTCCATATTTTAAGTGTTTTTTGCCAAATTTTATTTAACATTGATCATATATAGTTTGTCATGACAATAATACGTAATCACGCATTAAAGCTAACTACCCTAACATGAACTCATGTCATATTAAGCGAGCTACGTTAATATTATCATAATCTAGTCTAGAACGAACAAGTGAGAGAGATATCTTCTAAGCTCTAGGTTATTTTTTTTTAGCTCAAATTACTCTAAATATGAATGAAATGATAGACAGATGAGTACAATTTGCTACGATTATTATTGTGGATCGGCACGGAGACGTTTGTACTTATCTTCAAGAGGCTACAGGGCTGTTAGGAGCACTTCCCTTCTTGATTCCTCATCGTGCGGTTTGATTCCTTTGAGGCTTATGCCTTTATTTCCTTCCCATTCAATCTTATGCGACGTGAATGGTGGTTCTAAATTGGGAATCGAGGAATTTTAATGGTACTACAGATAAGGTGCGGGATGTTTCCCCCTACGTAGTTGTTTGGGCTATTGTCGTCGCCTTGCAGAAGGATATTCTGTCGTTTCAGCTCAGTAGTTGTACTTCTGAGAGCTTGAGGCTATGCATAGGTTGCTATGATGCTTATGAACGGTTATCGTGCAATATTGATGTGATGTAGGATGCTTGCCTATGTGTCGGGGCAATGAATGACTTGAAATGAGGGTTACTCAGAGCAGTATACAGAGATTCGGTATTTTATTTTTGGTGGATGAAAGGCAATTGGACTATAAATGTTCATGTTTGTGTTGATAGGGTAACGAGACTTGGTGTTTTCAAATGTGATGGAATTTTCATCTGCGTCGTGGTGTCTGTCCTCGATTGAATATGTTAAGTTCGCCAGTGTTATGATCTTCTACAATTCGCCTTTGGAGCAGGATACTGTGAGATAGTATTGAAGAAGCGGCTGTCAGAGATCACGGGGTGCGGTGGTTCAAGATTGAATCGGTGTTTCTAATGTTGACGGCTCGAGAAAGATGATCTTCGGAAAGGTTTAAAGTTAGTAGCGGTCTATTGGTTCAAGTGCTACCGAGATAGATTTTGATCTAAGGCATCAGCTAAGCAGCAAAAGATGAGGAAGGACATGTGGGAAGTGTCATGCGGTGGTTAAATTTCTAGAAGGCCAGGTGTAAGAAGCGGAAGTCGAGTAGTTGCTTAAAGAAGAAGGATTTGGCAAAAGTGGGAGAGTGGCTGAGTAGCATATGGGTTCAATGGCAGGATAACTACACACCTTGACGAAAATTTTAGAGTGATTTGGGAATTTTAGTGGACGGTGATTGGGTTCACGGGCTTAATTTGAAATATTGGCTATTATACGGCGGGAGGTTGGATGCAACAGAAAGGGAGTTTCATGATACGAAGAAGGATGCAATATAACTTTGAATTGGAAGACATTGTCGCACATTTAGTTGATGTCCACAAGAAGTGAACGGACTACAGTTGGTGAATGAGCACGGGCTCAGGATGGGTTATTAATATCGTAGTGATTGTACCCCGTGCAGCGATGTTGGAAGATGTCGACGTGTAATTTCCACAGGTGGGTTATCTCCTGTGAGCAGGTCAGCGGTCGCATGGTTGGCGAAGCTCATGCGAAGGATTTTACTAGCTATCTGGTAAAGAGGTCGGACATGCGAATGTGGTTAATGATTCAGAGTATTCATAAAGGGTTTTACATAATGATTTCGAGGAATTTGGCGGGTTGGTTGTGCAAGATCATGTCAACAATGAAGAAAGAATCTTGGTGGGTTCCAGGGTTATGTAATAAGTGGCTCTAAGCTAAGTGGAAGAGTCCCACCATCTACGATTGAGTTGCATGGTTATCTACTCGTGAGGTTTCGGGTTGTGGCGTATTGGTAAGTTATTACAGCTAAGGGAAAAGAACATAAGTGGTAATTTGAGCAAAGGAATTGACAAAGGTGTGCTATAGTTGGCCTTATTGACTCATGTTCAGGCTTTGGGAAGATTCAGGATTTATGCTTCGTCCAGAGGTGATTTACAAGGGAAGTGATTCAGTCGAGTGCTTCATTGAGATGGGTGTTCATGTGCCAGTGGAGCCTGGGAGTTGATTATATTCAGGACCAAGCCAGGGTGGGTGACTCTCAACAACGGTCCTAGTGAAATCAAAGGTTAAATACAGTGCCTAAGGATTTCAAGCCCGCGGTATGGTTAAGAATCGAGCTTTTGTAGCGGATTATGATAAGAGTCTCGGAATGTTCTATGATATTTTTGGCTTGCAGTGTAGCATTGGGGAAATGGAAGAAAATAACTTCGAACTCATAGAGGAATTATTAGAAGGGGTGTATCAGTTGAAGATGTGAATGTGCGTGCAAGGAGGGAACGAAACGGTTCATGGGTGTGGAGACAATGTGGTCTCGTGGAATGGGGTCACTCAAGGTCAGTGCGGATTTAGGTTGGTGATGTAAGGAATGGAGCTATTATTATCTCTAAGGCATATAACATGGGCCGGGGAGGGGATTGTTCATCGCGAACGCGTAGCCATGGTCGCGAACGCGGAGCGCTGGAGGGCTGCTCTTCGCGAACGCGACCGGCATCACGCGAACGCGTAGAGTAAAATGGAGGTGGGCTGGGGAATCATTGAGTTGCTCTTCGCGAACGCGGACCCAGGACCGCGAACGTGGTGGTCAGGGGGGACAGACCATCGCGAACACGAGCAGCTCTTCGCGAACGCGAAGGCCCTTCTGGCCGCAATGCATCGCGAACGCGACAGGTCCATCACGAACGCGATGAAGACCTGTCCAGTGTTTTAAAAACAGAACCAAAAATGGGATTAGGCCATTCCTTCATATTTTCATAAACTAGAAGGCTTAGAGGCGATTTTCAAGAGACAAATTCTTCCCCAAAGTGTTGGTAAATGATTCAAAACTACTTTCTTCCAATTACCCATTGCATTTCAGCAATTTTCAACCTAAAAATCTAGGGTTTTTGGTAGAAATTGGGGGTTTGGGCAGAACTAGGGATTTTTATATAATTGGAATTTAGACCTCGATTCAGGGTCGGATTCCGATACTAATTACATATTTGGGCTCGGGGATGAATGAGTGAATGGGTTTTGGCTCGAACCTCGAGTTTGACCAAGCGAGCCCGGGGTCGATTTTTTACTTTTTGGGGAAAATATTGGGAAACTTGTAATTGTGCATTGGAATTGATTTCAGTGATAATTGATATTATTAAGTTAATTGTGACTAGATACGAGTGGATTGGAGGTGGAATCTAGAGGAAAAGTGATAATTGAGGCTTGAGTTTGGCCGTGGAATCGAGGTAAGTGTTGTGGCTAACCTTAGCTTGAGGGATTAGGTATTACTTGCCTATTTGCTACGTGTTTTGATATTGAGTACAGCGTATAGGTAAGGTGACGGGTACCTATGCGTTGTTCGAGTCATAGCATGCGAGTTAGTCTTATTCTTGTGACTGTTGTATTCCTTATTCATACCGTTCATGCTTAAACTGGTTATTCCTCATGTTAAACAATTCTTATCATGTTTTTCCTGAAATTAGATATTGGTTGAGCATTGACTCAAGTTGAGATTGATGTTGTGAAGTTAAATATTGAAACGAAGCTTGTTATTGATAATTCCCTTGCCGGGTTGTTATTGTTCTGTTGTTTGGGTGAGGGAGAGTGTCAAAACACGAAGGTTGATGCCGTGCAATGTATTATGAGTGAGTGATAATGCATGAAGGGTGATGTCGTGCCATATTCTGTGACTGATAATGCACGAAGGGTGATGCCGTGCCATATTCTGTGAGTGATAATGCACGAAGGGTGATGCGCTACCATGTTATGAGAGAGTTAATGCACGAAGGGTGATGCGCTACCATGTTATGAGAGAGTTAATGCACGAAGGGTGATGCCGTGCCGTTTCTATTGTTTCTTATGGTGAGGACGACAGTAAAAGCACGAAGGGTGATGTCGTGCACTTGTTTGCTATGTTATTACTTTCATTGGTGCAAGCATGTTATTTACTGCGTTTCTTTACTGTACTACTTTCAGGATTTGATATTCCCCTCAGCATGTTTTCCCCCTTTCCGTTATTATCTGCTTAAATTTCCATTTGTTGTTATTTTCTCGTATATGATTTAACTGCACAGGTTCATGTTTTGGTCGTGTCCTAGCCTCGTCACTACTTCACCGAGGTTAGGCTCGGCACTTACCAGTACATGGGGTCGGTTGTACTGATACTGCACTCTGCACTTTCTGTGCAGATTTCGGTACTGGACCGCGTTGATCTGAGTTGGGTTGCTGCCCTCAGTCCATCAGGAGACCCAAGGTAGATCTGCCGACGTTCGCAAACCCTAGAGTCACCTTCC